CCCCTGGGATCCCGTTTCAGACACGGATGTCTCCATCTCACTGATAAATACTGCACAGACTAAACAAAAAAGAAAAAAGAAGCTGCAGCGGGTCTTTCCAGTCCTCTCTCTCTGTCTCCACCATCACTCCCAGCCTCAAGCTACATGTGTAATCCACACTTCCCCACCGTTCCATCTGCTGAAAGGATTTTTCCTCTGCTCTGTGGAAACAACTCCGAAGGTTACGGGCCGTGAGACTCGTGGCCCAGCGTTAACGGCGATCTATTCAGACACAACCAATTTCCACAAGTGGTGAATGCTGGGTTATTCACGAACAGCAGAACCCACTCGCAGGTCTAAACCACGCTGCCTTTCTACATCTCAATAAAGGGGTCGCATTTCACCTCAGTCAGATCTGTGTTGAATCAACATTTCCAGCCTGGGCCAAGAAATAGCAGGACACTAAACCACAATGTGGAATGGAAATGCTGCTGAGAACAGGGAAATTCAGAGTAAAGTGCGCCTTCCTTTCCAGGAAGAGACAGCACATGGGACTCTGAAGAACCTTGGTCACTTCCAGAGATGTGAGATGGAAGAGATGCACAAAACAACCACGGTGTCGAGAGCCGTTGTGAAGTGGACAGAGTGGTTCACCACGAGGAACATTCATAAGCTGCTTTAACCACTACAATGATTTGACAACGGAGTACAAAAACACATACAGTTTGCCCAAAATTGAAAACTCTATCACTGTTTATTCATCCTTATGTTATTCCAAACCTGTATGACTTTATTTCTTCTGTGCAGTGTAATAGAATGTATTTTAAAAATGTAGGTCTTTTTGTCCACACAATGAAAGTCAGTGGAGACCAATTGTTTGACCTTCATTGTATGAACAAAAACAGTTGAAATATCCTTCAAAATATCTTCTTTTGTGTTCCACAGAAGAAAGAAAGTCAGTAACACTTTAGTATAGGGACCGATTCTCACTATAAACTAGTTGCTTATCAGCATGCCTATTATTAATATATTGGCTGTTTATTAGTACTTATAAAGCACATATTCTACATTCCTAATCCTACCCAATACCTAAACTTAACAACTACCTTACTAACTACTAACAAACAGCAAATTAGGAGTTTGAGAAAAGTTTGTTAATAGTGAGAATTGAACCTTAAAATTAGGTGTGACCAGAAAGTCATAAAAAAAATGACTCTGAACCCCAATTAGCCTAGAACCCCATGTGGCATAATGTGTATGAATTATGAATGTGTAACCAAAGGACTCACCTGTCTGCCATCTTGCCCCACATTAGTCTGTCCCCTCACTACTGTCCTGATGTTGTCATCCAACCGTCTGATTAAAAGAATTATTTACAATACCAGTTGAAATACTGAAAACCTAAAGAACCTCCATATATGAATGCAGACCATGTCAGGGTCTAAATATTAAAAACTCACCTGATTTTAAGTCGAATGTTATTCACCACTTCATCTATATTCGCCAAAGACTACAAAAAAATAAATAAATAAATAATAATAAAAATAAAAATTTGTAGGAGGAAAACATCTCTATTAAAATACATCAGCTATTCTTTTTAATTTTATCTCTTTTATTAATAATCAACATCTTATTAGTCACTTCTTCATGCTTGGAGAGCATAATGCCCTCTAGTGGCAAAAAATATGAACATTCAATAGAGGAGAATTTCTGCAGTAATGTAAAGCAATTATTGGTCACTTGCATCAATATGGGTGACCTAAACACAGGCGTTAAATTAGATTTATTAATTATTTGTATTATCAATGCTAACAGTATATAACAGTAGAATGCTGCAAATACACAAAAAAGGTTTTGAATGAAGATATACATTCATCATGTCGACCATTGCTCAAGTATTCTAATTTAGACTCACCTGTTCTGTTGGAAACAATGTATTAATGTATTCAACAGCATTGAAGTCGGCTCTATCCAAAGGGTCTTGGCTGGGGAAAACCTAAAACAAATGAGCAGATAACATATGATATAGCCAAGACCAGAAAAACAGGCTCTGCTGAATGAAGACCAGGTAGCCACAAGGTATCTAAAGATGTTCTGTGAGTCTGAAGTGACCAAAAAGCGTTTCTACACTTCAGGTGGCACCTTAACAAATAGATCAAGAGATCCAGCTGTATTACTGATCTTATGCTGGACTCAGTGGAGATAGTAGAAGAATGAATATGGCTTGACTAACCATTATATTATTAAACAATTCTGCACGTGCAATGTTGATGCTTTAGTCACATACTCTTTCCCGGTGTTGGGGAAAGTTACTTTTAAAAGTAATGCATTACAATATTGCGTTACTAAATTAAAAAAAAAGTTACTAATTATGTTACTTAGTTACTTTTTATGGAAAGTAATGCATTACGTTACTTTTGGATTACTTTTCAAATCTGGACAGGGCTTGCTTGTTTATTTTTAAAATAAAAAAATTTATATTTTTGGCAAATATAAAAGCCTTTTCACACCAAAAGTGAAATGAATAAGCCTCAGGCTGAAGGGAAAGTAAATCCGTACAGTAGAATGCAGAAGAAATTTCAACACACTTCAGCAATAAAAAAAGACACACTAATATTTGTCTAGAGTAATTTTTGCTTATTAGTATGGTTGAACTGGATCATCGAAGGTCAGAAGCAAAGACATTGGTTAATAGAATGGGATTAAATACATAAAGGATATTTGTGTTATTTAACATTGAATTTTTGCAGGTTTGCATCATATTCTGAGCTGCATTATTATTATTCATTTTGAGGAATACTGAATCTGTGTTTTTTTTTGTGAGTGAGATGAATTAATGCATATTCATATTTATTTTAGAACTACAGTAACATCTGATTTCTCTCAACATGGGGACAGGAGAGCTGTCAATCAATAAATTGGGGAGAAAAAAAAAAGTAACTCAGATATTCTTTAGTAAATTAAAAAGTAATGCGTTACTTTACTAGTTACTTGGAAAAAAAGTAATCTGATTACGTAACTCATGTTACTTGTAATGCGTTACCCCCAACACTGCTCTTTCCTCACTGTACTTAGCTAAACATTACTCGGGACGGTTTTTTTTGGCCTGCTGCCATCCATATCTGCTTCTTAACTAATGCATTTCAGAGTACTTCAGCTTAGGATGCATTCGTGGACCAATAGTCAGTTTAAATATATAAATGTTTACCCAAGAACTCTTTTAGAGATAAAACTATGCTGACCATTTAAAAGGTTTTAAATATTTCTAGACTATCAGCAAGCACTTGGATCATCGGTACAACAAGCTACATTTTCTTAGCATTTTATACTAACGTTGTAAACAGACTAACAGTTGTCCATTTTACGATTCTTCAATTGCATTACAGTGCAAATTCTTTATTTTATTCATCTTTTACACGTACTCCCTTGTAGAAAACCCTGGATGTGTCAAGGTGTCTGCCTTCAAATAACAAGCTAGCAATGACACATTTGCGTTTGCTGGTCTGGCGTTTTGACAACAGCTATCCACGTAAACTAATACGTAACATGATCAATAAACCAGACTTGACTGAAACTGTGAGCATTAATGGAGTTGTATCAAATTGGCAATTAGCATCTCTGGAGAAGACAACAGCTGACAGCTTGTATGCTCTCTCTGACACTGCATTAAAAACAGACACAACGCCAATTCATCAGTTACCTGCTCAATGGCCAGCTGCACTTCTGGAGTAAGGTGTAATATCGCCTCCAAATCTTCCACAAACTCTAATTCTTCATCCTCCATCATTGTGAACAGTCAACAGTCGTTTTATTTCCCTGTGCTGACGTGCATCCTTCTTTACCGGTGTCGATGCTCAGGAAAAAATATGATTCATTAGCGCCATCTGTGGCGCTGGAGACTCAACGCAAAACACTCTTCTTTTTCTTCTTCTTCTTCTTCTTCTTTTGTTTTTATTGGAGGTTGGCAAACAGCTTTCGGGTGCATTACCGCCACCCACTGATCTGGAGTGTGGACTCAGGCTCTAAATCACTATACACAACACCCCAATTAATAAATAAATCAACCTTTAAACAAAAAATCAATAAACTTATATTTCTCAAATTCTATTTATTAGTCTTGTTGATCCTAAATACTCTAGAAGTAGACTCCAACCCTTATCATCTGCAGATTTTTTAAGAATAGTACTGATATTTTGCTCTCCATTCTCTCTTAGTGCATTCTTTAAAATTTCTCTCTCTGAATCATACTTCTGGCAATGCAATAAAACACGGTCTACTGTTTCTTTCTCTCCACAGTATTCACACTTTCCATTATTATGCTTCCTGATTCATCATTTCCTGTTTCCTGTGTTACATAGAGGTACTTGTAATTCCAGTCAGGAAAAGCAAAGCAACGCATTATTTATTTATTCATTCATTCATTTGTTTTAGGTTTAATATTTTGGGTTCTATTAATGCTTGTTTTATAGTATGATATTAATATAATATTATAATTATAATTATTAATAGTATATTGTATTGATATTATTTATATCTTATTAATACAATTATTCATGTACTATATTAAATCAGTATTTTTAAATCTTTTTAGTGTTTTATTTAATTGTATTAATTTATTTTTAATTAATTTTAGATTTTGGTATTATTAATGTTAATATTTATATTACAATATAACATAATATCAATATTTGCACTCTAAGTATTCATGTGCCTAATGTAAGTTACCTTACTTTACTATTTATTACTTTGTTTTTGAGTTATTTGCGTATACAGGTACATTACTCAACGTGCTTAATAAAATAAAAGCCCTCTTGTTTTCACAGTCTGGGATCATATTTGTGTTATTCCATTACAAATGCGCACATACACAGATATTAAGACTTTTCATTTCTAAAAAAAAAAAAAAAACATAGTTCTCAATATTATTCGCAAAATCCGTCGCACACACCGCATTGCTGTTTTTCTTTCGTTTACAGAAGACTATTATTTTGAAATCGACTTCTCTCGTTATGTCTCGCGAGTTTTTCCGTTTCCACGTAGCTTCAACGTGTGTGCGAGAATTCTGTCTAGCTCCAGGTTTGTTCATTGCATATGGTATATATTTATGGCTTTTTAAATTTGATTTACACTAGTCTACGTAGTTTAAGACATTTATATGTGTTGAATATGGTTTTAAAGTATGTTTAGTCAAGTATGTTTAGTTATGTAAACTCTTAACGTTAGTTCTTTACAATACAATTCTAAAACATTAAACAACAGTCATTTACCTTCACAGCTGTGTGATTTAACCTGACGTGAACTCTTAAACCTGTTAACCTGCTGACCTGATTATGCCTTGGACATTTTTTTCAGTCCTGAATCTAACATATTGAAGCACTACCAGTAAGTTAATTACACACCAGGCATTATATGCATACATTTGGACTAGTATCTAAAGAAGTTAACAACTTCTGATGCATGAATGCATATCTGATGGTTGTTTACAGGTTGGCCCAGAAGATGGCAGAGAATGGGTGTCATCTCATCCCAGAGGAAGTCCCTACCCCGCAGCATCCACCCAGTACGGAGCCAAATGCAGCGGAAGGGAGCAGTTCTGACCCCAGTGGCCTGTCTCCGTCTCAGAGAGAGGTTCTGGAGCGCTGTCTACATGCTCTCACTCATGCCAAGAATGACAGCCACATTTTAGCAGCACTTCTCCTGGTAAACAACAGCTTATCCTCTTCATCCACCCTATACCGAAAACATATATTGTATTGCTCATTGTTTTCTCTTGCATTTAGATCACAAGGTTGTGTCCAGCAGGACAGCTGGATACCGGGACTCTACATCGGATTTTTGAAGCGGTAGGTTTAAATCTTCCCGCACGCCTTCTGGTTACAGCATTTCGGGGTGACGACAGCTCCGGGTTGCCCCCAGAGGAGTTGATCTCTCTGGGCACTGCTCTATTGGCTGCTCTCAGCACAGACGCAAGCATGGTTGCTCATCCACAACTTCTCAGCACAGTCCCTCTGATCCTGAGCATACTGGAGAACGGACCCAACTGGACAGATAAACAGACAAAAACACTTGGGAATGAAGCCCAGAGCGGCTCTGGATCTCAAACTGGAAGTGCTACAGATTCCCAGACCACTTCTAGTACGTCTACCTTGGACGAGGCTTTGGCTTGTGACTGCTTGTTGATCCTAAATACTCTAGAAGTAGACTCCAACCCTTATACAAAACACTCTGTAAGAGCTGTTGAGGTTAATCATTCTCACTTTTGATAATATTTATCAAGATGATATTCCTCTATTTACAATATTGGTCTATAGCAAATCACCAACTCACGCATTTTAGTAATATTAGATTTTTAGACAAGTATAATAGTTTTCAGATTCTGAAATGGAAACTGGGGACAATCTGAGATGGAGATGTGAAGGCAGAAGGAGCAGATTTATTATTATAAAATGGTGAAGATCAAAAGTGCACAAAAAAGAGAGCAAAGAAGTGTCTGATGTCTCTAATGAACCAGTTTTACATTTACAGCATACGTTTGAGTCTGAACAGGTAAATGGTTTGAAATGTGAACTAGCCTGTGTTCTATTCTCTCTGTCAACCTATAGCTTAAAGTTCAAGATTAGCTCACTGTGAATTCAAGATCCCTGCTGCTGTGTACTTTGTTTTCTAAACTGTAAATGACTGATCTTATTTCTCACTGAGATTCAGTTTTAGACATGAATGAGTTCACAAAGGAGACACAAGATGCCTCAGCAGCAGCTGGACACTCTCTGCTATAAAATTATTATTATAATTATTTAATAATTATTTAAAATATTTTTTGTTTAAGTTTTAGTTTTTTAAGTTAAGTTTATAATTGTTGCTATGTGCTTTGGTCATTTTTATTAGTTTTTTAAAACTCTATTTATTTATTTTTTCAGTTAATTGCAATTTAAGTTGTTGTTTTTTAAGTTTGCATTTTTATCTAATATTTATATATTTTTTCTGCTTTATTTCAATTACTGATCAAGACATGAACTATTTTAATAGTTAACAGTTAACAATAGCAACACTGTCAGGTTTAATCATAATAATATATTTTAAATACATTATACTTTATATTCAGAGCACTACACTTTATAGTGCATACCAGTATGAAAACCCTCATCAAATGGTGCACAGTTATTCAAGTCAATGTTCATTACAGGCAACTATTCAAAACTTTGCTGATGGGACAAGGCCTCTCAGCACTGATCTGTGGGACTGCTGTAACATCTCAGTATCTGGCGTCCGTTTACTATCTGAATACACCCATGCTGCAGAGCTTCATTAATTACACCCTTCTGGGCATCACTTACACCGTGGCACTGATCTTCAGAAGAGGTATTTGTTCATCAGCAGTTTAATTATATACTTTCATTGAATGTGTTTCATTCTTGTTCAATCACTAAAGATCTGCTAGTGTTATCCACTTTTTTGGCATGTAATATTCAGGTTGCCTCTCTTTTAATGTAGGGGATGGCAATATTTTGCAGATTTTAAAGACAAAATGGTGGAAGTATCTATTGTTGTGACTGACAGATGTGGAGGCAAATTACACAGTGGTGAAAGCATGTCAGTACACCACATTAACCAGCATACAGGTGACAGCTTTTTCTGGATGTGATGGTATACACTTACACTTACACTCCAAAGTGGAAGTGGAGGGGTTGGAAAGTTTTCTGAAAGAAGTCTTTTATGCTCACCAAGTCTGCATTTACATGATCAAAAATACAGTAAAAAAAATAATATTGTGAAATACTGTTTTAATTTAAAATAACTGTTTAAATATATTTTAAAATGTAATGAATTGAAAATGTATGAATTTTGGTACTCAAATTTACTGACACCAAACTTTTGAACGGTAGCAAAGGTAATTTCAAAAGGTGTCACATGTAACACATTGACAAAATCAGAACCTGATTTAAATTCTCAGTGCAAGCTGTTGTTTGACTAACTGACCTGCATTACAGCTGCTGGACTGCTTTATTATCCTGGTTTTGATGATCTTGTCCTGGTTCTTCCTGAAGACCCACTATAAGATCATCCACTATGTAGCTGTATATACAGGTATATGTCTGGCTGGGGTGGGAACAGATATCCTTGCTGGCCAAGACCAGGGATCTTGTGAGAAGCAACCTGGTTCTCCAGAACATATATATATATATATA